TATTATAATATCTGTGGTTATTTGCTTTGAAAGATCAGGCAGCAGATAGACACCATTGCCATAATACCATAGAGTATTCATCCAAGACCCTAGCGATTATACTTTTCCTAATTTTGGTGCTCATTCACTCCCTTATTACAATATATGTGGTTATTTGCTCTGAAAGATCGGCCAGCAGATAGACACCATTGCCATAATACCATCCAAGACCCTAGCGATTATACTTTTCCTATTTTTGGTGCTCATTCGCTCCCTTATTACAATATATGTGGTTATTTGCTCTGAAAGATCGGGCAGCAGATAGACACCATTGTGACCAATACCATAGAGCATCCAAGACCCAAGTATTTATACTTTTCCTATTTTTGGTGCTCATCCTCACCATTAATTGTAATTATGTGTTTTTTTTCTTCAAGTTCATGCCGCAAACCCCGTGAACAAACTAACCCTGTTGGTCCACTTTGCTGCAGCTTCCTGTTTTCAGCCGGACTCCTTTACGAGGTTGACAAGCTCTCTGGCATGATCCTTGCAAGGAGTGATTCTAAGGTGAGGCGGCACTAAAGCACAGAAGATGCACAGAAGAGATGATATATTCATGTATGATGACGTATTTTGTATGTCAAACTGGAGTGTTAGTTCGTGCCCTCCATCGGAGTTGAACCCATACTGGTGCGTTTGCACCGAGGTCACATTCTGATGTTTGTCTAATCAATTGACTAATTTACCACCTTTTGCCGGTTCCCGGATATCATTTTCCATTCGCCATACTGGCGGTGCATTGCACCTATCTGTGTGTAATATGGTTTCGCCATGTTTTGTCGCTCATCTGTTTATCCACGCCGTGTTTTTTTTTTTTCTGGTCTTGTCTTTCGGTGAAACGCGAGGACTGTAGACTCGCTTATGGAGTGTATGAGGCTGGCCGCCTGGCTGGTGAGCAAATTGGCGCTGCTGTGGGCTGTGGCGCTGGGCCTGGCCGGCTGGTGCGGAGAGGCGGCGACGGCCAGTCCAATGGGCGGTGTGTGATCCGGAAACAAGGGCATCCAACCGGCAAGCGAAAAATAAGAAGAATCTATACCTAATATTATTTAGGCAAAATTTCTCTCCACTCACTTTTTTTTCGTCCGGCCTTCCTTTAACGAATCCTAATCCAATTAGATCTTTCCGATTTTGAGTAATTTGAATAGGAATCTTAATAAAAAAAAATATGGGGCTCTTGCGTTTGTACTCTTATTTTGTATCGAAATTGTGATTTTGCCCCTATTTTTTTTTACTTTGTGAATTTACCCCTACTGTGCCATTCACGAAGCACCAGTTTGCCCCTACTCCGTCATCCACCCCTAACGGTGTTAAACTTTGTATAAAAGACATGAATGCCCATGCGATTTTGCCTCTTGTTTTTATGCCTAATTGTGATTTTGCCCTGTCACTTTGAGGAGGCTTTCATTGCTTGTGGCGGCTGGTTGACCGTCCGACCATGGCGCGCCACCGGAGATGTGGTCTTTGGGGCCTAGCCCGGCTGAAGCCGCAGGTCAGTTGTGGCCGCTCGGAAGTCTGAGGGCGGGATCTTGCGCAGGAGGGGCGGGCACTTTGTCGCCATCTGCAGAGACACGAACGCCGCCGGGGGAGGCGCGTGGATAGTGCACGGGCAGCTCTCGATCTCGTGCTCCGATCCACGAAAGCGCGACGTAGCGGCTCTACAAAGACCGAGAACAACGTCGCGAACTCGGTTGGCGATTCTTGGCGGTGGGAAGTTAGCGGCCGGCGCCGAGCGGGACCTGTTGGCGGAGAATGGGAGCCACGGGATCGGTCGTCCGTCGAGATGCTTCGGAGACGCCACCGCCAGTTGCTGCTCGTCCATCGAGCACACACCGGAGCTAGGGATGTCGGCGAGGAAGCGTCGTCGCCGAGTCACCGCCAGTTGCTTTCGTCCATCGAAAGCACACACGGAGCGAGGGCGTCGGCGAGAAGCGTCGTCGTCGAAGTTGCTCGTCCATCACCGCGGACTCCTTTCGCTTTCGAATCCCAAAGCGAGCGCCTTGGCAGATCAGGCGGCCCTCATGGATCCCGGCGAGATGATCCAAAAGCGGCGGTGGAGGGCTGCGGCGGCACTGGGGGCAACAACAACGAGCAAACCTCGTGGCCCCGGGGAGCGGCGCTGGTGGTGGGCGGCGCGCTGGGGTGGGGCGCGCTGGAGGAGGGTGGCGATGCACAGGGTGGAGAGGCGCCTCGCGCTTCGCCGAGGAAGCCGCCGCTTTGAGGAGCTCATGGAGGAAGCTCAAGCGCTTCGCGTGGATGGGAGCTCGCGGGAGGAAGCTCACGCAACCCTAGCTGGCAACGCCGAGACGAGCGGGCGCCGAAGTGTGGCGGAGGGAGGAGGAGACACGCCGGGGGAGCGGGAAGGAGGGAGGATGAGCCACGCCGGGGGGAGCGGGAAGGAGGGAGGAGGAGGCCTGCCTGCCGACGAGCCCCGCCTTGTTGCTGGAGCCGATTGCACGCACTCAAGACGTCTTATTTATAACGCCGCCCGCCACCGGATGCCCCCCCGACGCCCGATCGATCTGGCCGCCCGTGAAAAAAAAGGCACTGAATATAAGGATAAGGGGCAATTTGGTCTTTTCGCCTTTGTTTTTTTAGATTTTGAATTTTTTTAATTCATTTATTCCATGATCATCTGACGACATCCAAACCAGGGGCAAACGGATGATTCAATCCAAAATAGCAAGGGCAAAATCACAAAGTTGAGAAAACAAGGGCAAAATCACAATTAGACTAAAAAATATATATCTATAGATATTATATATATTATATGTATGTGAATATAAGGGCAAGAACACCATTTTTCCAAAAAAAAATATATCTATAGATATTATATGTATGTGAATATGAAAATTGTTTCTATTCGTGTGTCGCTTGAATATATGTTTTGGATAGTTAGAATCCTAACCTAAATAGATCCATCCGATGAGAACGCGAATAGAAATTCTAACCTAAATACAAAAGGCTAAAAGGTTTTTTTTTTTGGCCAGGTCACGTACCGAAAAACCTAACAACGTAAGGCAGAAGTCATGTTTTATAGCAGCCGTATATACAGTGCTCAAACTATTTCCGTGTGCGGTGGATGAGTGGAACCGAAGGTGTGTCCTATATACTCCTATCTGTTTCCTGCCATAAATAAACTATACATCGGCTCTAATTTGGTAAAAGCTTATTTAAACCCAGTCTCTCTTTTTTTTGCGACGTTATTTAAACCGAGTCGGGACCTTCCACGTGCATGCAAACGACCAAACCAACATGCAATCGTTAGACTTGGCCATCCAAAGTCCGTTTCTTTTTCTTTTTTTTTTGAACCTGGGTATATTTTTTATTAAAATAATCATCATCTGGTGTGCGTGTTGATCTTTCATTTCCTTGCAATTCTTGCCCTTCTCTTTACTCATGTGTAGTCGTGTAGATTCTAGAGTACGAGGCCTACATGTTTCTCGTCTAGATGCATGTATGTCCCTTGCATATCGGCTCTTGCTTGCATGTTTGTTTCTTGTACATGCGCATAAAATCATCAACGCCTTGTCACCAGGATTCAATCTACATATGATAAACCGTTATTATCTTCGTCATTGTACTGCCCATTGCTCATAAAACTATATACTGAAACAATTTTGACTGCGAACAAGTGTATCAAATAAAAAAAAACAAAAAATGAATTGGAGCATATTTACAATTTTCTCTTAATAATGAAGCCTAAAAGGAGGTGATCCAATTAGGTCTAGGCCATGTTAAATTGTTTAGTATTTGTTAAAAATATTTAATTATTTATTGGAGTTGGACATGCATATTTTTTTATCCCGTTGCAAGGCATATCTGCTAGTAAATAACTATTAGGAAACATAAAGGGCCGAGAAAACCTGCCGAGCCAGGTTAAATCTGGCCTGATCCATTTACTCCGCTACGATTTTCTCCAATGGGCTTCAGCCCATACACTTGGGGTCTGGGCCCTGAATTCCCCAGGAGCCGCTTCGCGGCGCCCTCTCTGAAACCCTAGACGGCTAGACCTTATATCGCTATATATACCCAAAATCGAGTGAGGGACTCAGGGACTGCACCACCGTAGCAGCAGCCGCAGCCGCCGCCGCCGCCGCCTCTGCCCATTCCTTCCCTCCTTGGCTCCTTTGGCATCACGTCCGGCTGCGGCGGTTTCGACTTGGACAGCTGTGGTCGCACCCATCTCGCCCTCGTTTCAGCTTTCTATTTTTTTTAATCTCGTTGTTCGCTTCTGTTGTCCGGCGCTGGTTTGAGGAATTTTGGGGGCCGTTGTATCGATGCAGATGAGGAGACACAAGTTTTAATGGGTAATTTGCGTCTGAGGCATCTCTGTGATGTCACACCCTTTTTCACCTTGGAGATCTGATGCATCCTCAGTTGCTCCCTACGGCCCCTTGACCCGTCTGCTTGTTTGTGCTGAATTATGATTCCGTTTTTTGCTTTGGTTATCGCTTCTTGATATGTGTTTGTGGTCCTGTTTTTTTCTTTTTTTTTCTCATATAAAATTCTATGGTTTGTTTTTGCGGTGAGGAGATGATGTGATGATCGAATTGTTTCCCTATTGGTTTGATTGGCCGCCATGATGGCTCAAACTGTATTAGCTCTATCTGATCATCTCCTTCGCGATCTGATTTCCATAACCATCAAACCATCTAGTTAATTACTATTTTGTAATTGTTTTAGGAAAGGGAAAATTGGTTTCGTAGCAACTAAAAAACGCGTGATCCAGAAAATACCATCGAAAGTTGGTTGTACCGTAAAATACCATCAAAAGCGAGGATCCGTTTCCGCAATCTAGCACACTGTAACTTTCGCTGTTAACGTCGTCGTTTGTTGGAGTCGTCCAAGGCTCCAAGCAGCACTTCACCTCGGCTGCCCCGTCGGTCGCTGCCTCTACTGGCCCCCTCGCTCAGGGCTGGCGGCTGCCGTGTTTGTGTCCTCTCCGACGACCACGGCCCCACATGCTGGGAGTGGCCGCACCCCGACCTCCCAAAAGGCCTCGAGGCCCCTCGACTTCTCGCATCGGCACTTCACCTCGGCTTCACCTCGGCTGCCCCGTCGGCCGCTGCCTCTATTGGGGCCCCTCGCTCAACGCTGGCGGCTGCCATGTTTGTGGCCTCTCTGACGACCACGGCCCCACAAGCTGGGAGTGGCCGCACCCCGACCTCCCAAAAGGCCTCGAGGCCCTTGACTTCTCGCATCGCACTGGGCCGGACTTCCTTCGCGGCATCGGCAAGACGAGCATGAGCTGCTTGGGCGCCGTCGCTCACACCCATGCCCACGCCCTTCAAGAACGTCGCCACCGGCCACCGCCACGCCTACTCCGTCGACACGTAGGGTATCTTTGTCTGCTAGGGCGATGGCGCCGTCCTCGAGGTGCCGACGCACAAGCTGTCGGGCGACATGCTTACCATGACGTTCGGCAACGACACCTGCATCCTCTAGGGCAGCGGCCGGGTCCAGTGCTGGGGCGCCGTCTAGGTGCCGGACTAGTACAGGAACATGGATTTCCTGGCCATCGAGGCCTACGCGACGCGGTGTGCGGCATCCTCAAGAGCAACTACTCCATCGTGTGCTTGGGGAAGGGCGACCGCTTCGGCACCGGCGGCAGTCTGGTCTACAACAGCACCATGCCTGGCGCCTGCGCGTGCAAGAAGAGCTGCCAGTGCGACATCTCCGGCTACGGCACGCTCTGCGGCACCGGTGGCGCAGAGGGCGGCGAGGAGCTCGCCATCTGCCAGGCCTGCGCGATGCCGCCGAACGCTTCCGGGATCTTCATTACCAACGGCAGGGCGAGTACAGGACTAGCTGTCGCATGAAGCCACAGCCCGACCAGCCCTTGTTACGCTGTTCAGCAGCAGCAGGCCTATGGGCATGTCCTTGCTCTACCACTACGCCTGCCTAGGTTGATGCAGTGTACAGGTTAGGCTGTCTTTAGTTCGCGAAATGAAAACTTTTGATGTCATATTGGATGTTTTGAGATGTCGGAAAGGATTTTCAGATACTAATAAAAAAAACTAATTATATAACTCATCTGGAAACTGCGAGATAAATTTATTAAGCCTAATTAATCCATCATTGGCGCATGTTAGTTTCTGTAGCACTTATGGCTAATCATGGACTAATTAGTCTTAAACATTTGTCTCGTGATTTCTAACCAAACTGTACAATTAGTTTTTTTTTCGTCTATATTTAATACTCTATGCATGTGCCGCAAGATTCGATGTGATAGTTTGGGGTGAAATTTTTTGAAAACTAAACCAGGCCTTATTCCCCACGTCCTCCCATGGTTCCTGTTTGTTATTAAGTGAGACGAAGGCACCCACGGTGCCAACAAACGACGTTAACAGCGAAAGTAACATAGTACTAGATTGCGGAACGGATACTCACTTTCAATGTTATTTTACGGTGCGATAAACTTTCGATGATATTTTTTGGATCTCCCGTTCTTTCGGTACTATGAAACCAATTTTCCCTTTAGGAAACGATATATTAGTTTGACTTTGAAACTTTTAAGTGACTATTGCTGGTTTCACGATCCTTTTTATTATTGATACTCCCTCTGTTTACGAAAGAATACAAAAGAATATAATTATAGGAAACGTGCTAGCCAAACTAGTCCTATTCTGTAACTAATCTAATGATGCCTATTTTGTCTCCTAAGCGTTACTCCCTCTGACTCAAATAAATAGATTCCTTTGACCGATTTTCTAGAATAAAACGTTAATATTTATGTTATTAAATTAGTATTATTAGATTTATCATATAATATATTTTCAAAATGTGTTTATTTTATGTTATAGATGTTGTTACTCTTTTCTATCAAGTTAATCAAATTTAAAAAAGTTTGACCGACACGGATTCTAAAAATTGATTTTTTGGGAACGGAGGGCATAGTACTTTTTCATATAATTTTAGTTAAATTTGAAACTGTTTGACATCTCCAAACGTGAGAATTATTATTTTTTAGACGGAGGAAGTATAAAACTTCAATGCCTGTCGCAAACAGTTTACGTTCAAACGTGCTCTCTTTTGCCCGGAGAGAGATTAAAATTTATGAATAATAAAGATATTTTGAGGTCCAAGCCTTAAACAGATGGCCATTGAATTTGTGAGCTTACCAGTGGTAGGCCTGTCCGGTGGGACGCTATCCATCAGGGTTCAAACCATGGTAATCGCACTTTTTCTAGAATTTTTTTTTAGAAATTTCAGCGTACACGCACGCATGCGCGTTCGGCGAAGTTGTTTCCTAATCTCTTCTTTACATGTACGGACGCACATGCGTGTGTGTGTGTGCGCGTGTGGTGTGAGTGTGAAATGTGTGGGTTGTACGTCCAAAGTTGTACCTGATAATTTTTTTTATTATTATTCAATAATCATAATTATATATTATAAAACAAATTATGTGCAATTTGAAAGACTCGGCAGGCATGAAAGTATTATGACCAAAATGTTGGGATTTGACATCCTGTCGTTGGACATCTTTCGGCACCGCACCTTGGCCTGTTGGATAACCCCAAGATACTGGGCCTGTTGGATAACCTACCCCAAGCTACTGGGCCTGCTGGATAACCTCGTAATTTTGGGCCTGCTGGATAACCTCGTAAATTTTTTTCATGGCTTCTACAAGCATTTCAGTAGCTTACTCGAAAAAAAAAACAAGCATTTCAGTAGCACGTTGTCAGAGGACATAATCTCTTTGTCTCCGGAAAATAAGTAAATCGAAAAATCAATAATTTTGAGTTGTACAAAGTATTATAAAAAAATACTAATACTTATGATGTCAAATAATCATTATTAAGTTAACCAATATTATACATCTCATAGTAAACCATGTTAGTGCTATAATGAAATGATTGGTTGACTTCTCGATGTGCACCTACTTTGAAAGGAAGCACTCCCACCCTTGATCCCTTCACCGCAAGGCAGGTGTTTTGTGAATTTGCTTAAGTTTGACTAACTATTTATCAGAGAATATAAATAATTATGATATTAAATAAGTATGATTAAATTTATTATGAGATATATTTTTATAATATATTTATTTGAATAACAATAAAGTTTTTACCTATATATTTAGTCAAAGTTTAGTCACTTCAACCAGAATCCGTCCTTTTTTGACAAGGGTAGTACATGGCATTGTATGATTAAAATGTACCATGTGAATAATATATCAAACTTATAATATTATGTAAATTAAGTACTTGTCAGCCGCTAGCACACCATCTGAAGGCACCTGCAATGGACTTATAAGCTAGGTCTAAGTATTTTTTTTTCATATTTTAGAAGAGAGAGAAAAGCTAGCTCTTGATGAAGAGCTAAGCTCATACACATATTCTAAGAATATGTGAATGTTATGTGGGTCTAATCACACTATAAACCATTGCTAAAATCTAAAATCATTGGAGAGGTTGGTTAGGAGCTAGTAACGGACTCTTACTATTGCGGATGCCTGGAGAGCTCACGTGGACCGTTGAGATATCGTGGAACCTGATCGTCAGCGTATTTGCGGATGCGGTGGCCGGAGGTGTAGCGTCTAGTTGCCTGAAATCGTGATTAGCGTGATTTCTGTCAATTTTGGAAGAGAAACGGCATGTGTAGCTTCTAGTCGCAAATGACTTTTGAAAGAAAAAATTACAAAAGCTAAATATATTGTCGGGGACCAATATTAGAGTACCCGAAGAGTAGGAGTTAAAAACCATCAACGTTGGTTCATCAGAGCGGTCAAGAGCGTGAGTACACCTTTTGTTGGGCTTCGCCTCGTCCAACCACCGAGGCCATGGGCTCCGCCTCGTCCGACTCCCGAGGGTTGGCTCTGCCTCGGTGGACACTGAGGCCGCGGGCTCCGTCTCGCCCGACCCCCGAAGGTTGGCTCCGCCTCGGCTGACTCCCGAGGGTTGGCTCCGCCTCGTCCGACCCCGAGGGTTGGCTCCGCCTCGTCCGACGTACGAGGGCTGGCTCCGCTTCGGCTGACCCCCGAGGGTTGGCTCCGCCTCAGCCGACGTCTGAGGGCTGGCTTCGCCTCGCCCGACGTCTCAGGGCTGGTTCCACTTCGCCTGATCCCTCGGACACGGTTCCTAACGGAAGCTCACGTCACCGCCAACCACTATGGGCCAGAAAGTACAAACCTAGGTCAAACTTCTGGCATCATGCAGCGAGCGCTCACATCTCAGCACAACCCGTCCACACGACATGTCATTCTAGGGAACTCACATCACCCACAGTGACGGACGTGTGGTCACTATGCTACCTACTCCTTGTACGGTCGCTGGTCAACACGCTGGTTCGCCGCGCCACCCGTTGGGGCGGAGTGGGACGCGACGACCCGCTGACAATGCCAGGGCATGACATTGTCAGCGGACTGGCGCCCGGCGTGGAACTATTCCTATCACCACCTGTCGTGTTAGCGAGGCCCGCACGTAGGAAAAGAAAGGTTCGGCGACCCTGAAGGACTTCCTCGGCCTCTCATTCTTCTCTTTTCTCCTATTGTAACCCGTGCTTTCCCTTGGCCTATAAAAGGGAAAGCAGGGCGTCCCATTAAGGGGCATCGGTTCATCGCACCGCATCAGATCAAGACCACTAGCATCAAACCTCGAACACATAACCGAGCAGCGACCGAGCTCTCGACACCCATTCGTTCTTTCCACCAGAGACTTGGGACATGTTCCTCTCTCACCCGTTTATAACCCCTACCACAAACTTTCAGTGCTAGTAACACGAGCAACAATAACGAAGATGTAGGGACATTCTGCTCAAACCAGTATAAACCATGTGTCCTCTTAGCAACCCATCCGGGCCATACGTGCAATAATATAAATTTTCTCGTTGGTGTTTACTCGGAACACCGACAGTTGGCGCGCCAAGTAGGGGCCTTTGCACGTCCCGATATCAACACCAGGCCTCGGATGGCTAACCACAACCTCAGCTTCGAGGACCTGGACTTCATCATCACGGTGGAGGGAGAATTGGCAACGGCTCCCGCCGCCATCCGACATCTCCCCTCTGCCGGCCTCGACTCAATCACCGAGGCGCTTGAGGAACTGTGGCTGCACACACCGGGGGCCCGAGCCCCTAGAAGCAACCAGCTACTCAACTTCGACTACGGGAGGTTTGAGCGCCAGCCCGGCGTCTTCCTAGGACCTCGGCCATCCCGGGAGGACCTGCGCCACCTCACCTTCTCATTCGCCAACATCATGGCGTAGCTCGCCGGAGGGGAGCCACTCTCTCTGGAATACCTCATTCGGAGCGCCCCGATAGCGCACCCGCTCGGTCTTCGCAATGCCACAGAGACCGACGGCCACCCTATGGCGCAACGCGCGCCTTCATCCCCCGCGAACGACGGGTTCGTAGGGATGACCAAATATGTCGCGGAATATTTCCACGACCTCCTCGCAGGAGCATCGGAGTCACCCTCCGACTCTGACTCTAGCAGGGGGAGTCATCACCCCTCTCGTGAATGTTTTATAGCAGGTACCTCCGAGGGACACGTCAAAAGCATCCATGAGGAGGAGGCTACCCCGACGAACGACCTCGACGACGAAGTCAAAAGGGAGACAAGGGTCATACCCCACCTACGGGTGGAGCAGCTGAAGGCCCGACACCTAGAGCTCGAGGAGGCATGACTCTAGCTCGAGCAGGAGCGCGTGGAGCTTGATCGAGAGATCGAGCACCACGGAGACGGTGGGCGCACGCACACCATGGCCCTTGACGTGAACCGGAGGATCATTGCGGACGATGAAGCCCTCCCGTACTTTGCCTAGGCGAGCCAGAACAACGCTGCTGCTGCGGCCTTGCTCTGTGGGCTTCTGGGGCCCGCGAC